AAACAGCTATGACCTTGTTAGCCTCCTGGCCCCAACCAGCACATTCCATTCTCAGCCCCCCCAAAGTTGGCCTGTCACGTGCACCGTTGCACTCAGGGGTGCTGGCGCCACGGGGTCTGTTCAGAGGAGGACGGGTGGAGGTCGCGTGAACGGAAGCTCCCTGCTGAGGGCTGGGAACACTCAGGCCTGATGTGTCACCTCTGAGGGCAGAGTAGGGACGCTCCACGACCCAAGGACTCAATAGGAAAATGCCTCCTACCACACACAGCTGCCTGGTCCCACAGCTGCTCAACCAAGAGCCACAAGCCCGCAGCCAGAGGCCAGTCCCCAGGCCCATTGCACAACAGACCGTCCCGAGCATTGTTTTGGTCTTCAGACACCGGAGGATGTGATGGGGACGTATGCTGGAGGACTCCCAGGACCAGAAGGGATTCCCAGGGTGAACTGAACCGAAGAGGGACTGCGTCCGTTTAGCACATGGGCCCCCGAGCTTAGGTTCGCAGGAGAAGTGCAGGCCAGCCGCTTGGGCCCCACAGCTCCACGAGCCTGAGGCTCAGCCCTTCCGCAGCCTCTGCCCAGGGCTGCAGAGTGTGTGCGTATACACCTGCTCTGCCCAGCAGCACCAACCGGATTTGCCTCTGCTGGGCTGCTACGGGGCGGTAGGAACAGCCAGCTCGAGTCCTGCTCTCTGCGAGCTCACAGTCTAGTTGAGGGGACAGGGCACACGCACTGAAAAGGTCTGTGGTCTGGAGAGGCGCCGCGCACAGTCGGACCCGGTTTTGCGGGGAGGGTCTCGCGGTGAGCCTTGGAAGAGGGCTGATCCAGGAGACTCAGGGAGAGCAGTGGGGAGGGGAGGCGCCGGCACTGAGCCCCCCTCCCCACGCACACGCCCGACTGCCATCCCTCTGCACGCTGACCGGAACCCCGCACCGAGCCAGGAGCCCTGCCTGTCCTCCCCAGCTTCCCTGGAGAAAACAGATGCTGCAGTACACGCAAAGTGGAGACAGCACCGCTGGGGGAAAGGGAAAGAAGCCAGAGATCACAGCCAGGCAACAGCCACCCACTCCTGTCCGCGGTCACCTTCCCGTCTCCCCCCACCAGCCACCAGCAGCCACAGGAAAGCTCTGTCCGCCTGGCTGCCGCGTCCCCCAGGGCAGCGGTGTGGCCGGCACCAAGCACACTGGGACGGGAAGGTGGGCTCACAACAATCCCAAGAGGTCGGCGGGGTCAGGCCGGTTGCCCGGAAACCTTCTGGCCTCCAGTCAAGAGTGCCCCCTGTGCCGGGCAGCCCACAGTCCTGGCCCTGGGATCGGGCCTGTGCAGGGCACGAGGACATGTGTCATGTGGGTGCACCTGGGGGAAGCTCCTTGGGCCCTGACACAACACACCACACTTGCACTAGAAAAAGCTGGCACTTTTTATTAACGGCAGGTGACTAATAAATACATTACGGTAGCCAATAAATTATTACAATAACTAGAGATTTATTAAACCAACAAGTCACTCTTCTTACAAAATTACAGTTAATACGGGGTGGGCAGCGCTGGCAGGGATGGGAGGGGGGACCGCTGTACGCAGAGGGACAGCAGCACCCGGACTCACCCCTGCCTGGGTAGGGGCGGGTGGGGAGGAGGCAGGAGATGAGCAGGAGTGAGTGAGGCCAGGTTGGGGGTGGGGGGGCGGCAAGAAGGGAGGCAGGGGGCAGGAAAAACTTGCAGAATCAACCCCTGGGGGATGACTGTACATGCCCTCGCTCTCAGTGGGGGCCCTGCCTTGCGGGGCTCATGCTGGCGGGAGGGAAGGCCTGGTTGGGGGGGTCCCGGGCTGCCCTGCTGGGGTTCCGCGTGGGGAGGTCCCCCGCCGCTGCTGCCCGCCCTGGGGGAGACTCACTGATGCCCAGCGCAGTCACGGAGGGCCTGGGTGTCCTGGTTCCCACAGCGGGGTGGGGAGCCGGGCTGGGGGAGAGGCGGCTCTGCTTGGGCTCAGCCACCGCACCTGGGTAGTCGGCGCACACGGCTGTGGGCCCTCAGGCTCGGCTGGGGACGGACGGGAGAGGAAGGGCCAGGGCACATGGCATCTAAGGCCTCCATGGAAGATGGCCGTGGAACCCAGACTGTCAGAGCTGACGGCGAGAGACGCAGAGCTGTGCTTTCTCCTCTGGTCAGGGGAGGGGGGGCGGGGAGGGTGGAGCCCACGCCCTCCTCAGGCCAGAGGCCACAGGCTCAACTGAGCCCCGACCTGGGCCTCAGGCCCGGCTCCCTCCAGGGAGGCTGGAGAGCCCTGGGGAACCACAGTTCTCAGCGGGAAGGCCCAGACTGGGCTTTTGTGAGGGCAATCGGTGCAGGGCATGGAACTTGCCCACAGGCATCTAAATGGCAGGCACGCTTTTCATGGGTTTGGCAAAGGCGTCCCTCCTAGAAATCCCGTTTCCCCTCAGCCTGCTAAATTAGAGCCATTCATAGAGTTTAAGGCATGGTCCTTTGGGGACACGCACGAAGCCACCATGGATGAGAGACACCACCCCGCCCCCCAATGCCTGGTCTTTCACTCACAACATCGTCCCCTTACATCCATACCCACGACGGAGCCAGAACTCATCTGTCACCCTCAGTCATCCCTCCCCATGCTGGAGCCACCAGTAACGACGTGGATGGGAGACGCAGTGGACAAGGAGGGAACTTTGTCCCGGATGGCCTCTCCGTGTGGGCTTCCGTTAGACAGCCGAGGACTCCACGGCAGGCTAGGGTGGGACGGCGAGAGCACTGCGGGCAGCAGCAGGGCAGCCCGGGGCACAGGACAGGAAGGCCCCAGGCAACCTGCCCCTCCAGCCTCCTGGTGCCACAGGGGAGGGTGGGGGCAGCTGGCCAATGGAGAACCCTGGGCCCAGAGGGCCAGTGACTTCCACCTCCAGGGCAATGGCCTTAGAGGTGGGGTTGTCCAAGCATGCCTCCTCTTGGTGGCTGCTTTTGAGTATGGGGTCACGGGGCAGAGTTCGGGGCGCAGCAGATCACTTCCAGGGTGGGGTGATGCCGGGAAAGACCTGCTACGTCTTCACTGTTGGACAAAATGGCCTCACTGGCCTTGGCTGCTCACGGTAGGACACGGAGACTATTGGTTCTAGGGGCCTGTCCTCTGCCACAACCCAGCACCTGGTGCAAAGTCCAGCACGCAACAAGGCAAGCAAAGCTGAAGTGGGCTTGGGCTGGTGGGGGGGTTGGTCCCTGCAGCCTGGCTGCCCGGTGACTTCCCACAAGGACGGGGGCAGCAGTAAGTGTGCCGGACGAGGGGTGTGGCTTCCCCGTGGCACGCATCCCTGCAGGCATTTGGCACTAGGGAGGATGCCCTGGGTTTCCTGCGCACCACCCAGAGCTCTGTGCCTACCGGAACCAAGAAGCCCAGAGCTGTTGGCACAGGGCTCTTCCTGGCTCTGGGGCAGCCCAGGGGCTGTAGTGGGAGTCCAGGAACAGAGCCCAGAGTGAGGCCGAGAGCACACACGGCTTGAGGAAGGGGTCAGAGGCCTCTTAAGGGGCAGCCCTCTCCCCTACCATGGGCACATCTGACTCCTAGGACCGACTGCCAAACAAGCACACAGGGCCTGCCTAGGGTGTTGGCGTGAGCCCGCGGGAGGCTCCTGGGTGTAAGGGAGAGGTATGTTGATTGCCCGAGGCCAGCCAGGGCCTGGGTCACCAAAAGAAGTCACCCCACCCCTTTCTGCTCAGGAATCTCTGCAGCAAAGCCCCTCCAGGGTGTTCTAGGACTCTCTCTCCAGAGAAGTGGGGCGGGGGGTGGGGGAGGTGGGTATGTGTCTGAGCCAGTCTGGGCCCCTCAGGATGGTGGCCCCATCTGTCTTTCCTCCTCTGCCCCTGAGGGCTGGCAGGACACCCACAGCTCTGGACAAACTCTGTTTTCTTCACCAAGACAGAAGGAAGCTGCGCTATTGGCTGCAGGGGCCACATCAACACCTCCCCGGGGCCTCCTCAACCTCAGAACACGGTGCCTGAGGGCCGCCCCCCCCCCCAGGGCCGCCCCCCGCCTGGCCTTGCTGGTTTGAGCCGGATTCACTGTGAATCTGAGAAGGGAGAGCACGACTGACTACTCACATTCTGGAGCAGTTGCCAGAGACCCAGGTGATGGGAGAAAGTGAACGGGTCATCCTTGAGCCCGCAAGCACTGGGGGTGAGGCCCCATCCCGGTCGACCCCAGAGCTACTTCCCCTCAGCCTCCCCTCCCCTGCCGCCTCCCACCTCCTCCTAGACTTCCTTCCAGGCGCGGGACTCGACCCCTCTGACCATCAACCACGTGCCTTTGCAATAAGTCAGTCTCAGAAGCATTTCCAGACCTACGAGGAGTCAGGGATGGGGGTTCCCCAGAAGGCAATGGGAACCTCCAAAGTGTGCAAGGAGGGATGATGGTCCAGAGAAGAAGGGGCTCGTGCCAGAGGGCCGAGATCCAGGCACAAGGAGGAGGGAGACACTCGCCGTGGCCTGAGCCATGGGACCCACACGTGGTTGGGCTGGTCCCACCCTGGCTTTTGGTGACGCAGCCGCACTTGACCAGAAAAGACCCCAGGAGAGGCTGAGCAGTGGCTCCCGCGGCCCCCACCCCGGCCAGCACCCTGCCCCAGAGCCACCCCCACACAGGAGGAGACCCTGGGACTTTGAGTATGAGTCACCAAGTGTAGTGCATGCCCATTCTGGGCCAAATGGTGGCCTTGGCCCCCACACCCCTCTCCCCAGGACAGAACTCTCAGAGATAAAGCGGAGGCCAGTGGTGCGGGCACTCGGCACCCCGGCCCAGGCCCTGTGTTACCACGCCTTCTGATGTCCGGGGGAGGGGCGGCTGGCGGAGGGTGTTTCCTCCTCCTTCCTCAGTGCCAGTGGCTGGCGCTTCTTTGTCAAGTGCAGACAGCGGTCTGAGAGGCGACGGAGCTCTGGTCCTAGGGGTGGGGTGGGGTGGCAGTCCAGGCAGGGAGGCGGGCAGCTAGTCGGTGAGGCTGGGGCTCAGTAGAGGCCACAGCCCCGGAGGTTTTTGGCGATGATGACGTCCGTCACGGCGTCAAAGACAAACTGGATGTTGTTGGTGTCAGTGGCACAGGTGACGTGGGTGTAGATCTCCTTGTGGGCTGACTTGTTCTTGCTCTCGTACTGGGCCTGGATGTAAGCCACGGCCTCTGTGAAGGCACTGGGGCCTGCAGGAGAGACCAGGTGCGGAGCTGGTGAGTCGAGGCCGCCACCAGGGTGTCCATCAGACCCAGGGCCAGGACCTCCCGCTGACAACCCTGAGGGCAAAACCTGATTGGGGGAGGGCAGCCTGACGGCTCAGCTAAGTCAACAGGGGGACACGCAAGCAAGTCGGTGGTCCACGTCCAGTTTGAAATGAAGCAAAAAGAACAGATCTCACCGTGCCTCGTTCCTATTAAGGGTGAGTCATGTTTCGTGACACTTCTGTTTTCCTTTTAAATCTGTCCCCACTGACTCCTGATGCAAATGTTCTTTCTTACCATGGGTCCTGCTCAGAGAAGGTGGGCCCCTGGCTGATGCACAGCCTGCAGACAGGTCCTCCCCATGTCACCGTCACCTCCTTTGGCCACTGCCGGAGGTGAGCCACCTGGGCCTCCTCCCTCCTTCTTCTCACCCCTCCCCTTTGTCACAGTCACCACCTGGGATTCACAAGTGCCTGGCTCTGCCACCTTCCTGGGGATTGCCACACTGCTCTTCCCAGGTGAGCCCGGGAGAAGCACCTGCTGTCTGGGGAGAAGTGGAACAGGACTCCCCGCTTTGCACTGAGGCCCCCACAGGCTGCAGGAGTCTGGGCCCAGGCGGAGTAGGGCTGCCACGGCCGACTAAGGGCAGCCGGGCAGTGGGGCTGGATCTTGGAGCCACAGTGCTAGGCTAGGGTGGCTGCTGTATGGACGGGAAGCCTGGGAGTGGCAGACCTGGAAGGGGGTCCCAGCCCCTCAGGCTCATGAGCACACGGGCCTGGCCTTGAGGGTCTACCAGAGCACAGCTCCTTTTGTGATCTGGGCTGGAGGTGAGGGAGAGCGTCCTTGGGACTGACACATAGGCACTCAGACGTCCTCAGCCCCCAACCAGCCTTGGGGACGGACCCATCCTGCCTGCTTCCGCTATACCACAGGCCACAGCCCAGGTCACCTAGGGCAGGATCCACAGACCAACTCAGGGCTAAGAGAAGCCTGACTGGTGGGCATGAGGGTCTTGTCCATCTTTGGGTGCATGCCACTGGGGGCCTGGCCTCGAGGAAGGGGGGGACGGTGCTGCTAGCCTGGCTCCATCATGACCCCCACATCTACTCTCAGGGAGGTGGGGGCTTAGCCTGGGGGCTCGCCTGACAGGCCTGCCTTGTTGGGACTCTGCCCTCGCCCTGTGCTTTCCAGGCCCGGGGGTGGTCAGGCTGGGAATGCCCACTTCTCCACCCACTCACCCGTCTGCTCAGGCCCTGGCCATCTGGAAGCGCCAGTGGGCACTTGGGCCGTTCTAGCCGCCTCTGCTGGGGCCCTGGTCAGGCTGCTTTCCCTGGCTGCTCGTACATCCCAGTTAGGTGAACCACGGCAACATTAGCAGAGGTGGCTCTGACGTCCTCAGCCCCTCTGCCAGGAGGCCAGGGTCTCTGCTGCTTGCAGACCTCCATCATAGCCAACGGATCATTCCCGTCTTCTAACTGCCCCTGTGGGAGGTGCTCTTATGGCGCTCATTAGTTATCATCACGACTGTGACAGTAATAGCGAATGTTTAGTGAGCGCTTACTATATGCCAGCTGCCATGCTAAGCTCCCCATGCTCATTAGCTCACTTTGTCCGCACGGCAAGTCCTGAGGGAGGGCTGCATAATCACAGCGATTATCCCCGTCTCACAGACGTGCGAGCTCCCAGAAGTTACCTAACCTGCTATGAGTGTTGGAGCCAGGCGTGAGCCTCGGGCTGCCTGACTGGAAGCCCCGGCTTTCAACCCCCTCATCATCCTGCTGTTGTCGCCTCACTGATAACCTGTGTTTACAGGTGACGAAGCTGCGGCTCCAAGAGGCGGCAGAGCCAGGACTGTAGCCCTGCTTCCTCCGACCAGGAGGCCCCGGCGGGCTGCCCGGCCCGCCTCACTACGGCACATTCCGGGGGCCTGGAGGCCTGTCTTCTGTTTTGGGCTGGGTTCTTCCTCCCAGGGTCTGGGGCATCCTCAGAGCACAGGAGAGGTGGAATGGACTCGGCGGGGGCGGGAGGCGCCGCCCCCTCCGGCATTAGCGTGGCCAGAAGCCCGCTGTATTGTCCCTGCTGTCCCTGCGGGGCAGGGGGCTCTACCTGTGTATTCAGGGAAGCAGATGGTTAGCGGGGACTTCTTGATCTTCTCTTCAAATATGTCCTTCTTGTTAAGAAACAAGATGATGGACGTGTCTGTGAACCATTTGTTGTTACAGATGCTGTCGAAAAGCTTCAGGGACTCGTGCATGCGGTTCTGCAACAGAGCGGAGAGGCAAGTGAGGGCTGGCGGTGCCCGGGGCCCTGACTCACCGCGGCCACCGACACAGAGGAACAAGCAAAGGAAAGGCCCACCAGCGTGGCTGAACGTACCACCGAGGGACAGAGACAGGGGGACCCACAGGACAAACGGGACACGGTCCCTACTTCATTCCACACGCAGACAGGCTGGGGCAGAGCAGGGCGGGCAGGATGGAGAATGCTGCCCCCCCACCCCCAGAGGAGGTCTGCCCTGGAGGGGGCAGAGAAGGCCCCGCAGGGGCTCCGGCTTGCGGACAGGACATGCACCATGCACGCAGGGACAGCACTGCCATCCAACACGTCTACACGGAACCAGGGGCCATGCAGACTTCTCTACTGGGATCCCATTCGGTTTCACCCGCGGGGGTGGGAGGGTGCACGCATTCCGTTGGGAAACATTAACCGAGGACTGAGAGATCCTCGAATTAATCCAGAGTTGGAAGCAGCCACCAGGGGGACAGCGTCTAGGGGGTGATCTTGCTGTGGTCTTGGTGCGGTTGGGGGATCGGGTTGGTTGGCTGGGCCGTGGCTGGGCCAGGGGCGGCTCTGGGGGAGCTCGTTGTTGGGGCTGGTTTCTCAGTAGAGCGGCCAGAAGAACCCCAAGAAGAAACCCAGCAAAACAGATTAAAACAGAAAGGAAGATAAAAACCCAGCGGAACACAGGAGAGAAAGAGAGAAAAATGGAAATATTGGTTCAACCAGTCCCGGGGCCAGGAGGTCAAGGCCAGCCCATCCGGAGGCCCCTACGCAGTCCGGCCTAGGCCACGGTGCCTGCCACAGTGCCCAGGGACTGGAGATGGAAGGCGAGGGTGGGCAGGGAGGGCATTCACAGCAAAGTCACCCAGCGGCGCCCTGACAACCTGGTGCTTTCAACTCTTAGCTGATGATTTCGCTTGGAGGGAGGCGCTTCATACCTGCCCAGCTTGGAGGGTCTCTCAGAATCTGCTCATGGTTTTGGCCTTGGTTTGGCAAGTTAAGGCCCTGCAGGCAGTGGTGACGGTGGTGACAGTGAAGAAATGGCGGCAGGCTGAGGCCCAAGGCCGCTGGAGCCACGGGCCTGAGGTAGGAGGCCAGGATGTAACCCTCGGGGTGCTGGGGTGTAGTGGACAGGGAGGCCCGCTGGCAGGTGGGCAGCCTCCAGTCCCCCGGCTCCTGGCCAGCCTCTAGGAGCCACCTCCAGACACCTGTCCGGACAGTCCCAACTTCTGCCCCAGGCCGGGGGAAGGGAGGGGGGGGGGGGGGGGGGGGACGCGCAGGCTGACCCC